AGTCGAGACCGCCGAGAAGACGCGGCTGAAGACCTCTCTCCTTGCCAAGGAGCAGGCCATCGACGTGAAGAAGCCGCAGAGCGAGATGGAGACACTGGAGGGCGAGGTGGCTGAGATGCAGAAGCAGCTGAAGCTGGCAGGCGAGAACCGCGAGAAGGAGAACGAGGAATTCCAGCAAGTGGTCGAAGATCAGCGAAAAACCCAGAAGCTGCTCAAGGACGCTTTGGACGTTCTTGGGAAGTTCTACAAGAAAGAAGCTCTGATCCAGGTCCATGCGGTGCATGCAGGGCCCGAGTCCCCAGATGGCTTCAAGGACTACAAGGCGAACGACAAGAGCTTCGGTGTTCTCTCCATGTTGCAGAAGCTCATCGCCGACTCCAAGGCCATGGAAGCGGAGTCCCTGCGTGCGGAGAAGAGCGCGCAGAAGGCCTACGAGGCCTTCTCCGCTGATACCACGGCCTCCGTGGAGAAGAAGGAGGCCTCTGTCTCGGAGAAGAAGGCCGAGAAGGCCCGCCTGGAGAAGAGCCTGGTTCGGACCCGTCAGGGCCGGGAGGGTGCAGAGGATGCCCTCGAAAACTTGGCGAACACCAAGGCCGGACTGCACGAGAGCTGCGACTTTTTGATGCAGAACTTCGAAGCCAGACAAGCAGCACGCAGTGAGGAGATGGACTCTGTGAAGAAGGCCAAGGCCATCCTCTCAGGTGCCACCTTTGCTGAGATCCAGCTGGACTGAAAGCGAGAAGGACCGTAGGCCCTAGTGCGGCAGACGGCTTCGGATGCAGATGGATACACGTTCAGCCAAAAGTGACGTGCGAGGAGTTCCTGAGGCTTCTTGTGACTCTTGAGCGTAGAAAGCTTCATAAGTGCATGCTGAGGCTCTGGAATCGTCCATGTGCAGCATGGTATGTTGTATCAGATGCCTTGTAGATCAGAGGCCTCCAAGCCAGTTTCATTAGTTGCCAGATCTTTTTATTGCTGCTTCTCCTTTATCAGCATCCTCTTTCCTACATCGCAAGCTTTGCCAAGCTTCCGACCTGGCAGCAGCCAAAGCCCCAAACTCTCCAAGTGAAGCACTCCTACTCGGGCTGCGCTGTGATGGGCCGCCGACCGGCGCACAGCATGAGCCCGGCCCGAGATCAGCTTGCGCCCCAGTATCTCCGGTATTCCTATTATTGGTATATACCGTAGACTTGTATTCATGTATCTGGTCCGTACATGTTCATATGATTACAAATATGTGTACGTAGTTGGCTTGTGTGGATTCTTCCTGGTCGGTTCCATTGTCGGCGTGCTTGTGCTTTGTAAGGTATGGAAGAAGAGGCCCGCTGATGCTCTCCACCAGTTTTCGGTTTGGATAAGATAGCACAAGATTTCTGAAGAGGGGCCCTGAGGCCAAAAAGCGTGTCGCTTTGGCTCAGTCCCAGGTACAGGCATCGAGGCATCGAGCAACGACTTGAGTCCNNCAGGCGCTTGACGTGGACGAGGCAGCAGCCTTGGATGTAGTGATACATAACAGTGATCATCACGGCAACGATAACGATAACTAATAACGCTAACAATACCAAAAAAGACAACAAGAGAAACAAAGAGTGAGAGTAGCAAGAATAGCAAGACCAATCAGAATAGTAGCAAAATTGAAACAATCATCAAAGTGCGAATAGAAGTAGTAGTAACAACAGTAATAGTAATAGTACTAGCACTAG